CCATGTGCTTGCTAACAATATGAAGAAGCCAGCTACCAAGCATATCTGTTGAAGAGCAAATCTGAGAGCAATGATCAATTATATGGTAATTGATACTGTTACCTTGGCATAAGACACACTGTAATGCTCTCTGTTCTTCACCACAGCTAGGTAAAGAAGTGATGGTATAATTATGCTCACCATCGAACCAATCAGTGATCCAGTCAGTCCCAGAATAAATTCGACTGAAAAATCAAAAGTAGCTTATGTTTCTAGGGTTTCACATTTTCCTATGAGTCTCCAGAGCAGTTTGATCTAGAGTAGGACAATCTATGGCGCAATATTGTCTGTCATTCACCAATCACTTGTGGTGCACCTCAACAACACGAGCCGCCACGGTTATGAGTGTTAAACAGTATTAAACAAAAACTACAAAAGTTCAGGCTCGACCGAGAGACGATCCTTGAAAAGAGCTCGATTTTCACTATAAAGAAGAACAGAAAATAAAGTGAGCATGGAGATCCATTCAAAAATTCAGCAGCGTTCATGAGACGAATTTCAATTTGGCATTCGTCGTGTAAGATTATTTCTTTCGCCATGACATAAATTCATAGGTTTTTTTGAACAATTTTTGTAACAGGGAAATTCGAGTGTCATCTTTTGTAGAATCCACAACGTCTGCTACAGGTCATGCCAAAAAGAATATTGTGAATTGAGAAGATCGAACATTTCAAACATCAAATAAGATATCGACAGCTCTATAGAAATTTGTAAACAAGGCTGAGCGAAGAACAATGAGACTGAATCCACAATTACAGGATTGTATTTTTTTCTCATTTTTTAAAATTAGAAGCTGGTCCTTGGATAGGGGAAGACCCACACAACCATAAAAAAAAGCCGCAAAACGAACCGAAAAATGCGGCACAACTCACCATTAGGAATTAGAAGAGCGACAGTCAAGTTGAACAATAAAATGACAAAGGTAAGCACGTGAAATGTTGAAAAACGCATAGCATGCGACACTGGCAGCTCGCAGTTAGTCTGAAAATAAAAAATTTGGAAATACTTATCAAAAAGAACAAAAATTAGGCAAGATTAAACAGTTGGCTTTAAAATCTAATTTAGTTAGTTGTTATCAATAAAACACCGGTTCAATCTCTTCAATCTTTGAAATCATCCAGTTCCGCTCACCTTTTGTGAACCAAACATCACATAAGGTACATCCTCAACTCCTTCAAATGTCTTAAATGAATTCCACTTATTGAATAAAGGAAATCCATTGAGTTTTAAGTTAGAAAAGATTTGAAATCAATCCTTTACAGTACTTACTGGCCGTAGCACTAAGTTGAAAAGAGCAATCCGTGCCGGAAACAACATCAACGGTATAGAAATCGCAATCGATAACATGAACGCCAGCTTCAAAAGCTGGGTCAGGAAGGACGACTCCAATTCGACAAGCACGTCACCATGAAGGGAACGAGCAGAAAAGGCTACGTAACCGAATGTTCCCACTCCGGCATACCTGTAAAAAAATTGTACTTCCAGCAAGTTTAATAAGTTTAATACTAATAAAGACTGTAGGTAGACCCATTTGCGGGAAAGACGACAAGTAGTACGGCGCAGTGTCTCGTTGGACTAATCTACATGTAAGAAAATCCCATCCTCTTTCCAAACTATGCCCAAGACCTATCAAAAACCTCATGGCGTTTGACTAGCACGCTGTCATCCAAGAACGGTTATGGAGGTAAACTCACATTGCCGAACAAAAGTTTACGGCTCCTGATACGACCGCATCGACCCGGGACACGGTTGCGTCACGAATGCAGTCAATAACACAGAAAAGCTGTGTTTGACACGACAACGCCATGCATACGATGGGAAGGCTTAAATGATTGGAACTTCTTTAAAAAAGTTCTGGCTTCACTGTACGGGGAAGAAACGGAACAGCGCAGATATCAACGTACCAAGTAAGAAACCCGCTTGGTCGCCACCAAACTACATTCATACTCCACGCTCCATCCCATAAAGCTGGTAGGGCTTCTAGTACCTGCATGGAACAGTTGCTTCAATGTTTGCGCGAGAAGAGATAACTAAGTAAATCACGAAACGAAGAAAAAACCTAAACCAACCATTCGAACAACAAAAATCGCATAAAATAATACTGCAAATGAACTTATAACAGAAAACTTCTCGAGATCCTTGATGAGGCATAGCGGGAAAATGACAAGCAGTAGGACCACAACCTAAAAAATGAGCCGTGTAAAAAAATCATAGGAGCTTATATAAACTAAGCCAAAAAATCGGCTAAAAGGGAGAGAAGCGGATTAATGGAGCTTAAGCTTCAAATCTTGCAATTGATATTCGCTTGCGTATTTGCTGTCATCGCGCATTGTTACCTCAGGTAAGATCTTCAGCAACCATGTCAAATTACGGTTCGCGAATTTCCAGTGAATGTTTCCAATAAACCTTTTCGAGGCTATATCAGGGGCAACCTTAATCTTCTCAACAACCCGTTATCATCACCCTTACGACACTTTTTAAAAGTTCAAAGAAATAGTCGAGATGTCATCTTGATAATCAAAGGGAGTCGAGCAAAATCCTAAGGCTCAATGTGGCTTCCTAGGGCTATTGACGGGCTATTTTTTTAAATCATCGACCAAAGGTCACATCACCGTTACTGTTGCCCTATTTTCCGACCCCACACATTGAACATGTGTAACCTCTCCTTCATTGCATGTTCACACTTCGTCAAACTGGGTTGTGGAAAATTCGTGGAACCTCAAATGCGCATATATTAGTCAAATTATGAATCTTCGATTGAGGATAATTAAAATGGAGAATTATTCACCACGACGCTGGTATCACGATACTGGGCACACGCATTGAGACAATGGTGATAATATTAGCAAAAAAAGGGCAGTGAACGACTCTTAGAGATGTTTATGGGCAATTCTCAGGCCAACTATAAACGCTCGAATTTAGGCTGATAACGTAATCTGAACACCCACCATCACAAGCGTTCGCAACCTTTGAGTGGGCGCTTCTAACTCTAAATAATCCGCCACAAGATGAGGACCAATATCACCTAAACATACATCGACATCATGGGACAACTATTATCAGAAATTTGGAGGAGATAAGTAATCAAATAAAAAACAAAAAGAAAAGTTTAAAAAAATCAAACGATACCTATTACAACGAGGAATGCAACAATGGACGAAACAAGAAACGACAACAACGACAATTCGACAAATCGTCGACCTTTTGGCCCAAGAGCCGTAAGAGCCAACGTTTCATAACTGTGTTTACTGAAATAGAAAGCTATGGGCAACAAAACAATATTTTCTGTACTGTGAGAAAATTATTAAATGGTGTTCAAATGGAAAATCACAGTATTTCAAATGACTCAAGTTATAAATACTACGGCAAAGAAGGCAAAAGACCTCCAAACATACCTGGACAAAAAAGCTGCTTTACATAGAAAGTGACAAGTATATTTCGTTAACACTGCACATGCTCCAATCATTATAACAGCTAGGAGAATACCACACTGAAATCCAATAAAAACATGGTTCCTTCTAAACAGGTCACTAGCATGGCATGACTAGATTTTGAAATAATAAGTAAGAGGACCGATCAGACAGAACTCAGACTATTCGAAGCTGAAAAAATCAAGGCTGTTCGGGAACCTGAATTACTTCAAGACAAGCCAGGCTTTGGCGTTCGAATAGGTTACCACTAAGTGGTTCAAAAACTCTCAACGTCGTGACCGTACTCAAATGGATTTACCATTGCTTTTTGTAAAGCTCATGCAAACTCTAGCCTTGAATGGTTTCAATTCAAAGCCGTAGACTCAACGTGATCCAACGTTCATACAAGAGAGCGGGGTACCCACGATTTTAGTTCTGACTTCATACATGAGGGAGGGGCCAGAAACAGAGAGACTCGTTGTGATGGCCTTTTACTTTGTTTTCAATCTCATGCCTTTATAAAAATAATTCTAATATCAGCTGCAAGATTCGAAAGGGCTCAAATCAAAGGCATTCAAATGGATTAGACAAAAGGTTACATTTTTTACATCTCCCGTGAGAAAAAATGTGCTTGCCACAGCCCTGTGATAATGAACACCTGCCTACACGGAGTAGAAAATTTTGAAATTGTTAACCCCCACCAGGATTCAGAACGGAACAAGAAAACAATCCCTAGTTTGCATGAAAATCAAGCAGGAAGATTCATTCTCGCCCGCTCAATAGTAGGCTAATTGATCAATAGAGGGACGGATTACTGATCAGACTTCTGTATGCAAATGAATTCAATAACATACACGGAATGTCAACACTACACACGACCGTTAACAAAATAGGGCAAAAAAACTGACAGAAAAAACTGAACAAAAAAGAAGGGCTTATTAAAGATAAGAATTACCTGCTGAAACACGAAAGGCATCGCCAGCACTGATACCCCGACGATACAATTCGCAAGATTGAATACATGTGGCCATGGAGTAAATGGTGAACGTAACTTCATCTCGTCATAACCACGTTCGGCATCGGATGGGTCTTGATCTATAAACGAAAACACACAAATAAAGCAATAAAGCAAGAAATGAAGCAAAGCAACCCATATAAATAGGGCATAAAAGTATAGAGAATACCAAAATACACATTTAACACTTTAAACATGAAGCTGCTCTAACGAAAAACAGCTTTTTTAAGACAAAGGAGTAAAACAAATATAAGAATAAGCAAGCATGGTCTAAAGATGCGTTGTGGCCTTGTTTTTGAGTTATAACTGGTACAGTAGGTGCGAGGACTTTCTTGATCGGAAGTAATCTTGCGTGACATTGAAATGTAGATCGGGAGATGATGAGGGATAATAAACAGGTTCTTGGAACACGCCTTGACTGCAACTCAGTGAATACGTTTCATCCACTATTGCAAAACAGAAGTTTGATTGCCTCCTCCATATCCCCTCCATCCTTTCAGCTTCGCCAGTTATCAGGCGATGACCGAAATGCTTTCAATCTTTAAATCTTGTCTTTCACTTCCGTCAAGGCAAAAATGTTACCAGTTTTGTCCTCTTCGAGCAATTCTTCAGACTCCGATTCGATGTCCATTACACAAAATATTTCGAAGTTCCGGTTTTAATATGAATCACGAATGACCGAACCACCTCGGAAGCGACGAAGGAATGAATCAAAAGACGAGCTTGTGAATACGCGAAACGTCATAGCTTAATGATAACGAGCAAAAGCGCCACATATTTGCACACGCCGAAGGCCATTCTTCGTGCACCGTTATTCACCGAAAAGACACATGGTTGGTGTTTGCTTACAGGTATTTGTGGGAATTTTACTTCACCCACACTATTTAACGTCTCTGCTTCCGCGCCTGGTAATAACTCGTCGGAATTCGTAACAAAAGGTGCTAGTAGCCGTTTTGTTGGAATCAATCTGAGTTCACTAAAAAAAGAGTCATGCCTAATTAGCCCACTAGCTTATTTGTTACAAAAGGGGTCCTAGTCCTATCGGAGCTAG